CAGCTCACTCTTAATTGTCTGTAACTATAGATACTGAGACACAGCTCACACTAAGTTGTCTGTAACTATATATACTGAGACACAGCTCACTCTTAATTGTCTGTAACTATAGATACTGAAACACAGCTCACACTTAATTGTCTGTAACTATAGATACTGAGACACAGCTCACATTAAGTTGTCTGTAATTATATATACTGAGACACAGCTCACACTAAGTGTCTGTAACTATAGATACTGAAACACAGCTCACACTTAGCTGTCTGTAATTATAGATACTGAGACACAGTTCACACTTAGTTGTCTGTAATTATACATACTGAGACACAGCTCACACTTAGTTGTCTGTAATTATATATACTGAGACACAGCTCACACTAAGTTGTCTGTAATTATATATACTGAGACACAGCTCACACTTAGTTGTCTGTAATTATATATACTGAGACACAGCTCACACTTAGTTGTCTGTAATTTGTCTGTAATTGTCTGTATATATACTGAGACACAGCTCACACTTAGTTGTCTGTAATTATATATACTGAGACACAGCTCACACTTAGTTGTCTGTAACTATAGATACTGAGACACAGCTCACACTTAGTTGTCTGTAATTATATATACTGAGACACAACTCACTCTTAGTTGTCTGTAATTATATATAATGAGACACAGCTCAAACTTAGTTGTCTGTAATTATATATACTGAGACACAGCTCACTCTTAATTGTCTGTAATTATATATACTGAGACACAGCTCACTCTTAATTGTCTGTAACTATAGATACTGAGACACAGCTCACACTTAGTTGTAATTATATATCTGTCACATTATATATACTGAGACACAGCTCACTCTTAATTGTCTGTAACTATAGATACTGAGGCACAGCTCACACTAAGTTGTCTGTAATTATATATACTGAGACACAGCTCACACTAAGTTGTCTGTAACTATAGATACTGAAACACAGCTCACACTTAGTTGTCTGTAACTATAGATACTGAGACACAGCTCACACTTAGTTGTCTGTAATATATATATACTGATTGTCTGTAACTATAGATACTGAAACACAGCTCACACTTAGTTGTCTGTAACTATAGATACTGAGACACAGCTCACACTTAGTTGTCTGTAATTATATATACTGAGACACAGCTCACACTTAGTTGTCTGTAACTATAGATACTGAGACACAGCTCAAACTTAGTTGTCGGTAATTACATATAATGAGACACAACTCAAACTTAGTTGTCTGTAACTATAGATACTGAGACACAGCTCACACTTAATTGTCTGTAACTATATATGCTGAGACACAGCTCACACTTAGTTATCTGTAACTATATATACTGAGACACAGCTCACACTAAGTTGTCTATATTGGGACACTGCCCTAATACTAACTTGTCTATGACTCTACTGGGACACTGCCCTGATACTAACTTGTCTGTGACTGTACTGGGACACTGCCCTAATACTAACTTGTCTGTGACTATACTGGGACACTGCCCTAATAATAACTTGTCTGTGACTGTACTGGGACACTGCCCTAATACTAACTTGTCTGTGACTATACTGGGACACTGCCCTAATACTAACATGTCCGTGACTCTACTGGGACACTGCCCTAATACTAACTTGTCTGTGACTGTACTGGGACACTGCCCTAATACTAACATGTCTGTGACTCTACTGGGACACTGCCCTAATACTAACTTGTCTGTCACTCTACTGGGACATTGCCCTAATACTAACTTGTCTGTGACTGTACTGGGACACTGCCCTAATACTAACTTGTCTATGACTCTACTGGGACACTGCCCTAATACTAACTTATCTGTGACTCTACTGGGACACTGCCCTAATATTAACATGTCCGTGACTCTACTGGGACACTGCCCTCAACTTGTTTGGTGCCTGAAGGAACACCATGAGTCATTGGTTTTTGCTGCTTTTGATCAAAGCATGAGTAATGAATCATACAAATCCATTATTAAAATCACTGCAGATTTCACAATGATATGAACTGTTGAGTCAGAATTGAAATAAAAAATTCACCATTCGTGACACCAAAAAAAGTCATACATGAAACATGTACATATTTGACCAGCATATGCAAGGTCATAAAAAATTATCTTTCTAAATTTCGTTTTTTAAAGCAATTAAATAACATACCATAGAAACGTATAAATCTTTAGGGAAAAAACCATAATCAAGCAAATGAAAAACCACCAGGCAATCAAGCATTCTTCAACAGTGTGGGGATTGCATCAGTAAAAACCCAATCCACCAAACATCAGTCTACTTAATCAATAGAGAAAGAAGCTGGGCCAATTTGATTTTAATAGTATTGTATCGTACAGTAGTGTTCTCCTTACAGCAAACAAAGCCTAGTCAACTTTACAAAAGGTATTCTTACAAATTTGTGTTTTACATGTTTGTTTTCTTAGTTTGGTGGGTTCATCACACAATGAACAGCCAGGGTTATCTTGAGGCAGGGTATCTTTGTAACAGCTGGTGGCTACTTCACTGAACAACATAGAGATCATCACTTGCTGTCCAGAGCAATTAGGGTAAAGTGTCATGCCCAAGGATACAACCACGAAAATTCAACATATGGAGTTGTTAAAATTAACTCTTGTGAGATCTGAAGGGAGTCTTCTATTTACATCCATTAATGAAAAATTTCGACAAGAAAAAATTTACAGATCAGAAATTTCTTCCGAAAGATCCATTTTTAAAAGAAATTTAACATGAATAAATACAATTAAGTTTCTTGAAGCACAATCAATATTTGTCGCTAATAAACTTAATAAAACAAATAATTAATTTGCCCTTTTTGTTGTTGCTTTTAGATGAATTTAATTTAACATTTTGATTTAACAAAAGAAACATTTTCATTTTTCCTGTAAGAGATTAAGTCTTAAGTAAAAAATGTATAATATGTAATATTTTGAACTGTGGCTTTAAGCTAAAATCTAAACCATTAAAATGTGATCAATAGTTTATAAGATTTGTGATTCAAATTTGATCTTTGAATTAGAAAAAGATTTTATAATGACTCATTTTTTTAGAATTATCAATTTGAAGTTGAAAATTTCATTTTCCAAGACTTTTAATTCAAAGTTTTTTGACAAAACGAATGAAAGGATTCAAAATGAAATATTTATGAGGACTATGATTTCAAATTTCCTTTGAACTTTACAATGCCACTATAGAGGGATAAGAGAAAAATGACTGTTATACACAGGTGACCTTTAAATAGAGGTTCAAAGCATGTGACCTTTCCATAGATGTTCAAAGCAGGTGACCTTTACATAGAGGTTCAAGACAAGTGACCTTTACACGGAGGTTCAATTAGTATGATTTGTATAACACTGGAACCAGAAACAATTAGCCGTAAAGGTCAGCTAATTAATATATAGAAGTGACATTTTTCGACAGGTATCTGTTAATTACAGGTGGCTTTTATTGACAGGTATTTGTTATATACAGGTGGTCTTTGTAGTCAGGTATTTGTTACATACAGATGACCTTTAAGGACAGGTATTTGTTATATATACAGATATTTGTTACATGTGGCCTTACAGACAGGTATATGTTAGATATTGATGACCTTTATAGACAGGTTTAGCTATACACAGATTGTTCTTAAGATATATTTATTATATACAAACAACCTTTAGACAGGTTTTCGTTTATAGAGATTACCTTTAGAGATAGGCATTTGTTCTTTATACAGGTATTTGTTAAACACATGCGACCTTTACAGACAGGTTTTTGTGTTATATATAGATGATCTTTATAGACAGGTATTTTTTCTTACACATAAGTGGTTAAATGTGGCCTTTATAGACAGGTATTTGTGTTACATATAGATGATCTTTATAGACAGGTATTTTTTGTTACACATAAGTGGTTAAATGTGGCCTTTACAGACAGGTTTTTGTGTTATATATAGATGATCTTTATAGACAGGTATTTGTGTTATACATAAGTGGTTACATGTGGCCCTTACATACAGGTATTTGTGTTATATATAGATGATCTTTATAGACAGGTATTTGTGTTATATATATATATATATATATATATATAGATGATCTTTATAGACAGGTATTTGTGTTATACATAAGTGGTTACATGTGGCCTTTACATACAGGTATTTGTATTATATATAGATGATCTTTATAGACAGGTATTTGTGTTATACATAAGTGGTTACATGTGGCCTTTACAGACAGGTATTTGTGTTATATATAGATGGTCTTTATAGACAGGTATTTGTGTTATATATATATATAGATGATCTTTATAGATAGGTATTTGTGTTATACATAAGTGGTTACATGTGGCCTTTACAGACAGGTATTTGTGTTATATATAGATGATCTTTATAGACAGGTATTTGTGTTATACACAAGTGGTTAGATGTGGCCTTTACAGACAGGTATTTGTGTTATATATATAGATGGTCTTTATAGACAGGTATTTGTGTTATATATAGATGGTCGTTATAGACAGGTATTTGTGTTATACATAGGTGGCATTTATTGACAGGTGCTTTTATAATCAGGTGGCCTTTGAGCTAGGTTTGTATATAATGCTTCTGACCTCAGCGACACTCAGTTTTTTCCTTTGTTACAGAAATAGAACATCTGATTGTGTAGATGATGCCTTCATAGTATAGAACTACTCAGAATAGTACTAGCTATCTGCCTTCTCAGAGTAATGTACACTTTCATAGTGACAATATAACATTAATGTCTTTTTCTGTATATATATAACTCCAAGGTTGAATGCCATACTAAACCCTTTCTCTCCGGAATATCATATATAACACCTTTGTTTCTCACCAGGTGGCGACGTTTATCAGAGCTTATAACGCAGCATTCCTGTATTTAAGTCAAATATACCTTGCTCAAAATGATACTAATTTTTTTTATTAAGACACATGCTCATTCTCCATATTAAGAAGATATTCAACTCATACCTGATCACCGCTTGCATCAGCCATCATTGTTTGTTCAGCAGAGAAATCAGTTTATTCACATTAACTTTCCAAAGAATAGCACAGAGAGTGAATGATAGAGAAACACAGCTCAAGTACACCAAAAGACACAAACATCAGATACATCCAGTTTTGTTTAGAGCAGACGGTCACACACCACACATTTAAAAGCACTGCCACCTGCGAGCTATACCACAAACTAACGGAGCAAACGGGTGCTACATCATAGCACATAACGTAGAGATACTTTCCTGATACCAAACAACGTTCCGACACTTGATAAATTGGCAATATACTGTCACTTGCATCCCTATAGTTCTCGTATAGACCTTCACACTGAGCACCAACAACAGGAGCTTTCCTATCTCCTGTCAAAGCTACATAAAGCTCTCGGAATATTGGACTTTTTGGTGATTATCACTCAAATTGGATTCCAAAAGCAGCTGACCTTGATCATTTTGAAGCTTAAGCAAGGAAAGACATTGAACTTCATGAAAGCGATGCTGGAAGATAAAATTACAAAAAAGCAATGACAATGGTTGGCTTTAGCTTATAACACACAGCAGCTCCAGAATACTAGCACAGCACGATCAAGAGATTCCCATTCCAAGCTTGTTCCAGGGACCATGTACAGGTAGCTCCGGAGCAATGCAGGATACAATAGCGTGTAGAGAGATATGTGGAAGATCACAGCACAATTTCTAAAACAGTCTGAGCCTTGATTCCAAACATCAAAGATATGTAGAGCAATGAAAGAGTCCCTGAGTACCCATGATTTCAAGAAAGAATCTTATTTTTCTGTAGGTAAATACACTGAGTTTTAGGAATATTGGTCCTCTGTCAGTACACTGTAGACTGAAAGTGGGCAGATTTGGTACACTTTGGATAGGTATATATGTAATTTTCTATCTTGGTTATTGCAATGAGATATTCTCTCTCTGTAGGTGCTCTGATCACTCCATAGTAGCTAGCCTGCTGAAACCGTACAGTTTATCAATAACATCTGTACAGAGGAGCCGTAACATTACTGCATGTTGATGTTCATGACTGTACTGGAACTTGTAGGTGAAAATGTGAAAACAGCTCTGAGGGTGGTTGGTACATCACTCTGTTGGAACTTGTAGGTAAAAATGTGAAAACAGCTCTGAGGGTGGTTGGTACATCACTCTGTTGGAACTTGTAGGTGAAAATGTGAAAACAGCTCTGAGGGTGGTTGGTACATCACTCTGTAGGAGCTTGTAGGTGAAAATGTGAAAACAGCTCTGAGGGCGGTTGGTACGTCACTCTGTAGGAGCTTGTAGGTGAAAATATGAAAACAGCTCTGAGGGTGGTTGGTATATGACTCTGTAGGAGCTTGTAGGTAAAAATATTAAAACAGCTCTGAGGGTGGTTGGTACAACACTCTGTTGGAACTAGTAGGTGAAAACAGCTCTGAGGGTGGTTGGTACATCACTCTGTAGGAGCTTGTAGGTGAAAATATGAAAACAGCTCTAAGGGTGGTTGGTACAACACTCTGTTGGAACTTGTAGGTGAAAATGTGAAAATAGCTCTGAGGGTGGTTGGTACAACACTCTGTTGGAACTTGTAGGTGAAAATGTGAAAATAGCTCTGAGGGTGGTTGGTACAACACTCTGTTGGAACTTGTTGGTGAAAATGTGAAAATAGATCTGAGGGTGGTTGGTACAACACTCTGTTGGAACTTGTAGGTGAAAATGTGAAAATAGCTCTGAGGGTGGTTGGTACAACACTCTGTTGGAACTTGTAGGTGAAAATGTGAAAATAGCTCTGAGGGTGGTTGGTACAACACTCTGTTGGAACTTGTAGGTGAAAATGTGAAAATAGCTCTGAGGGTGGTTGGTACAACACTCTGTTGGAACTTGTAGGTGAAAATGTGAAAATAGCTCTGAGGGTGGTTGGTACAACACTATGTTGGAACTTGTAGGTAAAAATGCTCATTCTCATATTGAATGACATACAATTATTGGTTAAAATGGATTTATATAAGCTGAATTCACATATCAAATATGGCAACAGCATAGCTAGTATCTAAACATACTGGTTCAAATCAGATGCTTTTTTCACATCATGATTACATTGTTTTTGTAAGTGTATGTTTCATGCCTAATCCTGTAGGAACTAATAAAGGAGTTTGTCAACTAGCAAAACAGACAAAATAAACAATATGATTAATACTGAATGTAAAAGAAGATAGAAACACTTCAGACCATCTTATATAAAACAAATTTACAATAGAGCAGAACACACATAATGGTAGTATCAGCTGGTCCATAACATTTACATCAGCTGGTCCATAACATTTACATCAGCTGATGCATAATGCTGTTTATATCAGCTGATGCATAATGCTGTTTATTTCAGCTGGTGCATAATGTTGTTTACATCAGCTGGTTCACAATGTTGTTTATATCAGCTGGTCCATGACATTTATACCAGCTGGTGCATAATGTAGTTTATATCAGTTGGTGCATATTGTTGTTTATATCAGCTGGTGCATAATGTAGTTTATATCAGCTGGTGTATAATGTTGTTTATATCAGCTGGTTCATAATGTTGTTTATATCAGCTCGTCCATAACATTTACATCAGCTGATGCATAATGTAGTTTATATCAGCTGGTGCATAATGTAGTTTACACCAGCTGGTGCATGCATAATGTAGTTTATATCAGTTGGTGCATAATGCTGTTTATATCAGCTGGTCCATAATGTTCTTTATATCAGCTGGTGCATAATGTAGTTTACACCAGCTTGTGCATAATGTTGTTTATATCAGCTGGTTCACAATGTTGTTTATATCAGCTGGTCCATAACATTCATATCAGCTGGTGCATAATGTTGTTAACACCAGCTGGTGCATAATGTAGTTTATACCAGCTGGTGCATAACATTCATATCAGCTGGTGCATAATGTTGTTAACACCAGCTGGTGCATAATGTAGTTTACACCAGCTGGTGCATAATGTTGTTTATATCAGCTGGTGCATAATGCTGTTTATATCAGCTGGTGCATAATGTTGTTTATATCAGCTGGTGCATAATGTAAGTTATATCAGTTGGTGCATAATGTAGTTTATATCAGCTGGTCCATAATGTTGTTTATATCAGCTGGTGCATAATGTAGTTTACATCAGCTGGTGCATAATGTTGTTAACACCAGCTGGTGCATAATGTAGTTTACACCAGCTGGTGCATAATGTTGTTTATATCAGCTGGTGCATAATGCTGTTTATATCAGCTGGTGCATAATGTTGTTTATATCAGCTGGTGCATAATGTAGTTTATATCAGCTGGTGCATAATGTTGTTTATATCAGCTGGTCCATAATGTTGTTTATATCAGCTGGTGCATAATGTAGTTTACATCAGCTGGTGCATAATGTTGTTTATATCAGCTGGTTCACAATGTTGTTTATATCAGCTGGTCCATAACATTCATATCAGCTGGTGCATAATGTTGTTAACACCAGCTGGTGCATAATGTAGTTTATATCAGCTGGTGCATAATGTAGTTTATATCAGCTGGTCCATAATGTTGTTTATATCAGCTGGTGCATAATGTTATTTATATTAGCTGGTCCATAACATTCATATCAGCTGGTGCATAATGTTGTTAACACCAGCTGGTGCATAATGTAGTTTATATCAGCTGGTGCATAATGTTGTTTATAACAGCTGGTGCATAATGCTGTTTATATCACCTGGTGCATAATGTTGTTTATATCAGCTGGTGCATAATGTAGTTTATATCAGTTGGTGCATAATGTTGTTTATATCAGCTGGTGCATAATGTTGTTTATATCAACCAGTGCATAATGTTGTTTATATCAACCGGTGCATAATGTAGATTATATCAGCTGGTGCATAATGTTGTTTATACTAGCTGGTGCATAATGTAGTTTATACCAGCTGGTGCATAACATTCATATCAGCTGGTGCATAATGTAGTTTATATCAGTTGTTGCATAATGTTGTTTATATCAGCTGGTGCATAATGTTGTTTATATCAACCGGTGCATAATGTTGTTTATATCAACCGGTGCATAATGTAGTTTATATCAGCTGGTGCATAATGTTGTTTATACTAGCTGGTGCATAATGTAGTTTATACCAGCTGGTGCATAACATTCATATCAGCTGGTGCATAATGTAGTTTATATCAGCTGGTGCATAATGTTGTTTATATCGGCTGGTGCATAATGTAGTTTATATCAGCTGGTGCATAACATTCATATCAGCTGGTGCATAATGTAGTTTATATCAGTTGTTGCATAATGTTGTTTATATCAGCTGGTGCATAATGTTGTTTATATCAACCGGTGCATAATGTTGTTTATATCAACCGGTGCATAATGTAGTTTATATCAGCTGGTGCATAATGTTGTTTAAACTAGCTGGTCCATAACATTCATATCAGCTGGTGCATAATGTAGTTTATATCATCTGGTGCATAATGTTGTTTATATCAGCTGGTGCATAATGTTGTTTATATCAGCTGGTGCATAACATTCATATCAGCTGGTGCATAATGTAGTTTATATCAGCTGGTGCATAATGTTGTTTATATCGGCTGGTGCATAATGTAGTTTATATCAGCTGGTGCATAACATTCATATCAGCTGGTGCATAATGTAGTTTATATCAGTTGTTGCATAATGTTGTTTATATCAGCTGGTGCATAATGTTGTTTATATCAACCGGTGCATAATGTTGTTTATATCAAGCTGGTGCATAATGTAGTTTATATCAGCTGGTGCATAATGTAAGTTATATGCATAATGTTGTTTATATCAGCTGGTGCATAATGTTGTTTATATCAGCTGGTGCATAACATTCATATCAGCTGGTGCATAATGTAGTTTATAACAGCTGGTGCATAATGTTGTTTATATCAGCTGGTGCATAATGTAGTTTATATCAGCTGGTGCATAATGTAGTTTATATCAGCTGGTGCATAATGTTGTTTATATCAGCTGGTGCATAATGTAGTTTATATCACCTGGTGCATAATGCTGTTTATATCAGCTGGTCCATAATGTTGTTTATATCAGCTGGTCCATAACATTCATATCAGCTGGTGCATAATGTAGTTGATATCAGCTGGTGCATAATGTTGTTTATATCAGCTGGTGCATAATGTAGTTTATAACAGCTGGTGCATAATGTAGTTGATATCAGCTGGTGCATAATGTTGTTTATATCAGCTGGTGCATAATGCTGTTTATATCAGCTGGTGCATAATGTAGTTTATATCAGCTGGTGCATAATGTAGTTTACAACAACTGATCCACATTGTAGTTTAGGCAAGCTAGTTCACAATATTGTTTACACAAGGTAGTTAACAATGTTGTTTACACCAGCTGGTTCACAATGTTGTTTACACAAGGTAGTTAACAATGTTGTTTACACCAGCTGGTTCACAATGTTGTTTACACTAGCTAGTTCACGATATTGTTTACACCAGCTGGTTCACAATGTTGTTTACACAAGGTAGTTAACAATGTTGTTTACACCAGCTGGCTCACAATGTTGTTTACACTAGCTAGTTCACAATATTGTTTACACCAGCTGGTTCACAATGTTGTTTACACAAGGTAGTTAACAATGTTGTTTACACCAGCTGGTTCATAATGTTGTTTACACTAGCTAGTTCACAATATTGTTTACACCAGCTGGTTCACAATATTGTTTACATCAGCAGGTTCACAATGTTGTTTACATCAGCTGGTCCACAATGTAGTTTACACCAGCTGGGAATGAGGTGTGGAGGTTGGAGGAGAGGAAGTGGTACATGGGTGGAATGAGGTGTGATGGAGGTTTGA